TATGCACCTAATTTTCTGAGTGTATTCATTGAATTGTTATTGTTCGCCACGTACTTTTTTCAGCCAATTTTCCATGCTGTCGTCTGGAAAAATGTTATTTGAGTATTTTTTGTAATTTTTTTACCTAACTAAATTTTTAATTAGTGGTGTCCTAATTTCTAGCTGCCACACTGGACAGCAAAGCAAAGTAAAGAGATTTCTATTTGTTTTTTGGTTTTTAGAGTTATACTAACTCAGAGGTACGACAGCAAATAATCTCAGTATAAATGCGGCATTAGTGGTATCTTAGTGATAATTGAAAAGTCTAGCATTTTGAAGTAACCAACTGCCGCTGACATCTGTACAAGCAAAATTATTCATGACTTGTAGATTAAAGTGCTAATCAGCTTTAACTGAAAGTACTTAGTGTTGTTTTGCGCATTGGATAGATAGGTTAGGGTGGTCCAAAAATGTATGTGGAAAAAGTAAAGTCGGAATACGTAGGCTCTTATCCCCTAGGATTATTCTATACCGAAAAAATATGCTCATATTTTTTTGAGTCAAAAAAATATTTAGAGGTCGCTCAAAGCGGTCAAAGTTTCCCTTTTATTTTATATGGGGAAAAACCACTTTTCGTAGAAAAGGCGTAGATTTCTATAAAACCAATATTTTTCGATCTGAAAACTCTGCTTCTCTTCAGAGATTCCCAGTAATAATATCTAATTATTTATTTAACCATTTTTCAAAGTAACTATATTTTATAGGTCCGCCAAACCGTCCTAAAGAATGCCAGAAAAAGCAATGGGGGGATAAATAAAAAATATTTAGTATTCAAAATTTTTTAAATAAGCAACTGGATGTTGTTATTGGAAATCTCCTGAAGAGGACCAAACTTTTCTGAGCGAAAAATTTTGATTTTCAAGAATTCTATACCATTTCTACGAAAAGTTGTTCTTTTCCCATTAAAGATACAGTGAAAGCTCACATAGACGGTCGCTCTAATAAGCAAACACATTCTTGGGAACGAACATTGGATGCGGACACTCACTCTATTTATGAAAACAAGGAATTTTTAGCAAAAAAAAACTACTTAAAAAATTATATATATATATATTTCATGATCCACTGATCGGATCTAACCCAGATTAGTATGGGACACTACCTTTCCGATGCAAAAAGAATTATCGAAATCGGTTGACGTGGTCCAAAGGTATGCGGTAACATACATAAAAAAAAAAATTAAAAATATTCCGACGAACTGATAACCTGCCTCCTCCTTTTTTGGAAGTCGGTCAAAAAAAATCTCCCGTAAGCGGACGCGAAGCTCTAATAAGCGGTAGTTTTTTTTAGTCTGATGTTGACTCTTGCGCATGTAAATGTACAAAGTAAATACATACGTCCATATTCAAAGATGTTTTCTTTTTTTAAATTTTTTTTTTACTTTTCTTTGCCCTTTTCTTGCTGCTTCAGCAAAGCGGGAATGAGATTGGCGATAGAAAAGAAAACGCCATAAATTTGAATTTATTTTCCATTCATTCTGTTTTTATCTATTGAAGGATAAATATTATCTCAATTTAGGCAACCGCAATTAAAATTTTTTAAAATAGAATTTTAATATTATTTTTTCCAAAATTCCCATAAGCGGACAAAAATTAAGTGACCATCGGTGTCAGCTTATGGGAGCTTTCACTGTACCTGGAAAACTTTGAGCGCTTTGAGCAAGCTCTAAATATTTTTTGATTTAAAAATAAAACAATAGGGGCATATTTTTTAGATATAACTAGAAAACTACTTATTTTGGACCACCCTAATGTACATACATATAATACCTGCAATGAAAGCCTCTAGTTCTACACTAGTCTACAGCCTGCTTTGTAGTTCAACTGATCGTCACATTAAACAGCGCGAACGCAATAACAACTGTTGCTTTTAAGATGACGAAGTGTTCGAAGAAAGAGTGGCGAATTCGTCAGTTAAAGAAATGAATTTGTAAATTTTAACCCTACATTATCATATTACGTCTAGCAATGTCCTTCAACTCAGACTACATGCGTACGAAATGTTTTAGCCATCTCTCTGAGAGATAGTCGACATTTCTCGGCTACTTTAGAAGTAAACAAAGCATTTTTTTTAAGGGATTTGGCAACCACCTGGCTGTAAGTGATAATTTGTATTCCAATGCTAGAAATTATATCACACTAGGTACCAGTGATGCAACCTTAGAAATAGCCATCAGGTCAGCTTGAAAAACTCTGCAGAAATCAGGCAGACGAATAAACACAGACTCCAGCCATCGCAGTGGATGCACTCATCCTCTCTGACTTTATACGCTTTCCACTCACATCTACTTAGTAGGCATCCGTGTTAGGTATTTTAGTTTAAAATTGCGGGTTGGGAAGAAGTAATGCCTAACTTTTGGTAGGCCAAAGTGATGTGACATGGTGTCTGACACAATTGTGCTGCAAAAGATAAATGGTTGTGACTATATAGTCACATATAGTATGTCAGTATTGCATGCAAACTGTTAAGGTCACTTAAGCCAACGTGAACAGCGCCTTCGTGACTCCTGTTCCTAACATAGAGGTTTGTTGAAAAACTAGTAATCTCTGTTCATCCTAAGAGGTTTAAAAGCTCAACAATTATACTGGACACGTAGTGACGTCCATGTCAAGTTAACCTTGGAGGCTCTTCAACCTAGTCGTACGTAAATGATACTCCAAACAATTCCGAAATTTTTCGGTCAAAAAGTGCACTTTTCAATACACATTTTTTCTGTTTCATCAAAAATATGAGGACTGTAGCCCTATCGAGCGTCAGGAGGACGGAAATATCTTAAATTCAATACCTACCGTCTCTATCAATAATTGTCCCATGCTAAGAACTTGGATCAATTCTCATAGAAATTTTAGTGGGCAAATTCACATACAAGGGGTAATCAAGTCAGAGTTTTCTTGCGCCGTGAGAAATTTACAAACCACAAGGTAGAGAGAGATATAGAGAGAGAAATTGAGAGATATGTGATAAAATCAATGTCCATTGTTCGGAATGCGCCAGTGATACCTACGCCAAAATTATAACTGGCGCTAGCGTCATTGAAACTTTGGATTAGCCCGACATATATTTGCGAAATGCTTCAGAAGAAAATTGCAAAAAATGTCAACCACAGTTGACGGTTGTCTCGGTAAACTTGCCGTAAAGCATCGTTGGGCTACGTGAATTAACCGCTGTATTTCACTAGATGGCCTTGGAGCTGGGCCCGAACATATCGAAAATTTCTTGCTAGAAGAATAAATACAAGAGCTTTTCTTTCTTGAGAGCTGCAAAATTTTTAAGAAATTTTGCTAGACAATTTTTTTTTATTAACTTCTTAAGCGTCATTTTATATGAATTTTTCATATTTTTAAGATTGAAGATTAGCATTCAGCTCTCAAGAAATATTTTGAATTAGTAGCAACCAAGTAAAAAAAAAAACTTTTACGTATAGAAAGAATATTTACAAAATTTTTTTTTAAATAATTAATGTTTTCATTTTTAGAGCGTTTTTTTGAGAAAAAATAACTTTTCTTACAAAGCTTATGAAAAAGACTAGACAAGTTATAAATAAGTTTAATAAAAAGATAATAATAAGAAAATATATGGAAATAATAATAATAAAAAAAAATATTAAAAAATTTAAAAAATATCGAAAAATATACATTTAAAAATATTTTACGAAATTTAAAAACAGATTAAATAAAAAAATAAACATATTACCAAAAATTTTAAAAACCAATTTCGAATAATAAAAAACAATTTAGTTTAAAAAAACTATAATGGAAAATTTTCGTTGCCACTGAAATTACAAAAAAAATATATATGCAGGAATTCCACCAGGGAATAAAGAGGAAAAAATAATAATAAAAATAGACAATAATGCCGGATTTTCACTGGGCATTTAAAAAAATACCTGCGCCATTGCTTTTATAAAAAGTCATTAATGCTGAATTTCCACTAGGCATTAAATTACAAAATTTTTAATGATGATGATGGACATTAAAACCCTCGTCCACAAAAATAATCATCTGGTCTGCTTCCATTAGTTAGTTTTCATTTGGCATTTTTTATATGGCACACATCTTTGTCAATAATGCAATGACTCGGGTGTTTTGTCATTTCAATGCCTAGTGGAAACGCGGTATAAGTTCATTCCCATTTTTTAAATGTCATAGGTTTTTTTGCCATTTCCATGCCTAGTGGAAATTAGGCATACGTATTTTCAATAATGCAATGACTCAGGTATTTTGTCCTTTAAAGCCCAGTGCAAATCCGGCATTATTAAGTGCATTTTCGGTGATGATGACATATCTAAATATTTTATAAATATGAGCGACAAAAAAAAGCTTTGTTTTCCTAACAAACTTAGTTTAATTTTTTTATTGTTTTTTTTTTTTACATTTCGTTTTTGTAAATTATTTATTTTCTTGACATGTATTTTTATGTATAATTATCCGCAATTACCTTTAAAACTTTCTAGTTGTTTTTTGTTTAGCAACCTTGTTTCGAATAATTGCGTTTTTCTTGTGACGTTTTTTCTTTTTGGAAATTCACATTTAAATACACAAAAATTTACAATTTTGTATGCTTGTTGCTATGTCTCGTTGAGCTTGCTATGTAGCTGTGTTACTATAGCGATTTCCACCGAAAGAACCTGTACTAAAAATAGCTCGTACTTTTTTAAATTTTTTCACTCCACACCTCTTCACTTATAATTTTTGTTTGTTTTGTTCCAATTTTTACTTATTTATCGCTTTTTCACAATTTTTTTTTGCTAATACGTATGTATGTATTGTATGTAGCTTTTTGTTGCACTTCTTATTTAATTTATTTTTCTTTTGCTTTACTAATATCTATACACTTTTCGTGCGAGGTGAATGCTGACGTCAATGGACACTCGCATATACATACAAAGAATATATTTTAACTTAATTTTTCGCAAATTTGGAAGCGATTTTTTCGCCAGTTATTTCAATTTTTTTTTTTTAAAGCAACACAACCCTTTTTCTCGTTGCTCTTCGGGCACTTGGAATTTTTCAGCCGTTGCCTCTTATTTTAAATCCAAATGCGCTGCGCTGAGTGCTTTGTTCACTTCCGGCGTTTCGCAGTTGCGGCGCTTTGTTGCTGGCGTTTTAGGTTGATGATTTTTTTTAAATTTACAATTTTATTTACTTCTTTTTTAGCGAAACTTTCGCGTTTTATTTTTAGATTTTCTTTTTCTATTCTCCCGCTAGACGACGCGATTGAATTTCCATTAGATATCGACAGGTGTCAATTCTAAGTCGTTGGTCGATCACAACATTCAACAGAGTGGAGTTTCTGCGAGATGAGCACAGTTTCATCATTTGATGGCGACTAATGCGACCGGTGACGTTCACGTTTGCTTGCTGCCTGCCTGTCGATTTGGCAAAAGCTAGTGGCTGAGGCGCTGGTATGTGAGAATTTGGCTACAAAGCAAAAGCGATTATGGCGACGATGTCTTATCGCAATGTTGGCGCAACGACATAGCAATGTGCATATGTATTAGTGTAAGGAAGGCGAGCGCCAACTGAGTAGCTCGGAGCAAAAGTGTACTCATGAGCAGGGTTGCCAATAGAAAAATTTGTTTCCGCCCACAAAAAATGACAACCGCCGAAATGAAGAATACAAGCTTTTTTTTTTTAAGTAATTTGAAAATTTACAATATATTTCAAAGGCTAAGAATCTCATTTGTAAAAATTCAAAAAATAATAGAAACATTTTTCTTTTGTTTCTTTAATGTTTATTACTTTTTTTTTATAAAATTTAGTAAAAATCAACAAAATTTTACAACAACAAACTTTTTATTAAGCATTTATAGAAACATTCTAAGTATACATTTGTATATACCATTGACTTCTAGCTTAAGAAAGTGCTAGTTTCAAGTGGCTAAGAATTTGCGTTGATTTTTGATAATTTTTTTGCCCAACATACTATGCATGGACGAAAATGCGCTACACGTATAAGTTAATTGATCCGACCAATTTTGGGCGGAAAATCAGATATCTGGCAACACTGCTCATGAGTGCTCACGTCGGATGTTGGGTGGTGGTGCCGCCATAGGATAGTGTATGTATTTATGTGCTATTTAAGCATTTTGACAGTAGCTAACCGGTTAAAGGGCAACAACAATACCAAAAGCAAGTGGGCACACCCGTTTATTGTTTGAATGGGTGATGCGAGAGCGAGAGAATATCAAGTAGAGCTCTTGTTGCACGAATTTTTTTAATTATTGCAGAAAAGAGAGAGAGAGAGTTGGGGATAGAAAAAGTCTCCAAAACGTTGCAGAGTTGCATGTTGTTGAAATATTCAGTTCTAGCATTCAAAGTTGCCGGTTTGGCAAATTTTTTTCCAAAATTGGTAACTTTTTCGATTCGGTGAAACATGTTTGCCGCGTAGAGTAAACCAGCAAATATCCCAGTGTACTGGCACCCATATGAATAGAATTCTTTGATTTTCTAGTGCTCCAGAGTTTGAGGTTTAACCGCGTAAATACAGCCATTCGAGTATCCTCATAAAAACGTCCAACAGTGTCAAACCAGATGACCTCGGTGGTCAAATGACATCACTCCTACGGAAAATTGCGCGTCTTATAAAAAATTATAGCTGGATATCGAGTTGAAAGTATGAAAAGCTTTGATTGCCTGAAAAGCTTAGTGTGGGATTTTACCTTTATACCTTACCATTCGGATATACTATATATATATATATATAGTTCTGCACATTAATAAGTTTGGCAATTTTTTGTGGAATTTGGTAACTTTTTCTGGTGACTTTGTTAACAAATAATGGCTAATCTCACCATGTTCTGTGTGGTACTAATTATTCCTATTTTTCGGAATTGATAGCCGGCACGAGAAGACCGGTTTAATTTTTGAAATAACCATAATCAAAAACAAAAAAAAATTGGGCGTGACCATTCCGCTTTTCTCAAAAATAGTAACCGGCTTTTCGAAATTGGTAACCGGCTTATGTAATGGAGCGTCTTGTTTTCAGCAACATTTTAATTAGGGCGTCTCGCCATGCTCTGTGCGGTACTAAGTATTCGGATTTTCGAAATTGGTATCTAACCGGTACAAAATAAAAAACGATTAAATTTTTGAAATAACCAAAATCAAAACAGGCGTGACCATCCCGCTTTTCTCAAAATTGGTTCTAAAAACCCGAGTTTTCAAAATTGGTAACCGGCACAAAACCGAATTCATTTTTGAAATTGCATTTTTCCACATTTATGCGTCAATGCTAGTAGCAGGGAAGTGAATTGTCGATAGCTTTTAGTTAATTAAGAACATTTCCTGTCAAATTGATAGATGGGCATTTTCTTATTTTGATTAAAACATTTTTCTGAACAGCATGGTACCTTTATTAGCCTGTGCGGTTTTTTTTCAGATACACCTTAGAAAAGGGAGCCACATTGGCCACTATATACATATGTACATATATTACATATCTCAACTTCGAGTCATTCTTGCAAGCACCTTAATTCACAAACGCCCTAACCAACAAATTTTTTATTTTACAGGAGAAACAAAAAACATCAAATCAATCACGTATATGGTGTTTTAAAAAGTGACATGGCTCCATTGTTTTTTGTAATAACAGTTTCAAATTTTTAGTGAAGGTTAATTTTAATATATTGCTAGCCGGCCAAGGATGCGCGAGGCTTCGCCACGCGCTGAATGTATACATTTATATGTACATTTACGTATTTGGAGAATGAAATCATATGTCATCATGTACTTCATTTATTATATAAATAAAAAATCTTGTCTAAATCTGTTGTGGTTAAAATATCTCGCCTTTCCTATATACTAATTTTAAATAGGTGGTAACCCTAATCAAAAAACCTAAAGTTTTTGTACATGCGAAGGCCATACACTTTCATTTGGGATCTTATTTTTCTATCCAACGAACGGTGAAGATCTCATAGTTTTTAAACAGGTGGCAACCCTACTCAGAAAAATAATACATTATTACACATCCAGAGGCTAAGTCTTTTCGTTTGACAGTGACGGTACAGAACTGATGCCTACTCTTATTATGATTGAATATGGTAATTTTATTAACAGGTGGCAACCCTATTAAAAAAAATATGACTGCTTTTCTAGAAGCCAATCCCTTTCATTTGACACCTCATATTTTGTAATCCAACGAACGGTGCGGATCTTATTGCATTTTAGACAGGTGGCAACCCTATTAAAATTCTAAGTAAAAAAAGATCCCTCTCCTGTCGGCCTTTGTGCCTTTGTGAATTAAGGTGACGATATGTAGTATGTAATTTTACGAGCCGACAACCTAACAGGAGATAAAAAGGTTCACTTAAAAATTTTTCTATGTTCATTAATGTGGCAACCCCGATGGAATTGTAGACTTGGTGCGCCACCAATTACTTATTTGTTCGGCTCGCCTGCTATGCAAGAGAGTAAGAGCGTGAGAGTATACGCGAATTGATTTACATAAAATTACAAAATACCAACACAGGCAATACTAGTATATGAAAGCTTCCGTCCTAGCCTACGAGTGAGCATGTATGCTTAAGTGTGTGTGTGTGTGCGCACCTAAAAAGTGTGGATGAGGTTTATTCAACTCGAACTTGAACTGCAAAGTGAAAAAAAAAATAATCAAAAAAGAAATAAGTTAAAACAGCAAGCAGCGAGGGCCGGAGACGAGGCGGCAAAAGCGAAAACAAGTACATGAAGCAAATGCAAGCAGACAAAGGACGAAAAAAGCAAATGAAAAAAAAAATCAAATACGAGAATTAACTTGTGTGTGAGCAAATTAAAAAATGAATTTCTGGCCACATAAAAATTTTTACACTTTGATGGGCAGGAATCGAGGCAGTATTGGTTTGAAATGGAGGTTAAGGTGCAGTCGACTGAACCAGCAGACGGACATCAATGCCCATCAACGGCTAATGGATAGTAATGGGATCGAACTGTACAAATATTAAGAGTTTAAAGAAAAGAATTATTGGGAAATGCACCACTGAAAAGTATGTATAACTAGACAAAGCGATTTGCAAAAGTCACTGCAGTTGCATTTTGTGTAAAGTGTCCTTGACGAATAACTGGCGTCGCTCAGCGCTTGCAACTCTCTCACAAACACACACACACACACACACACACCCGCCGACCAACAGGAAAACCCACAAACAACTTACGATTGTAATCGTAGCCGACGACAATTTCTAGGAAATCGTAAGGTACGTCAGTAGTTGCTAATAAAAAAAAATTTAAGCAGAATTCACTTTCCAAGGCAAGAAAATAAGCAAAAAAAAAAAGAAATTTATTGATTACAAAACCGCAAATGACGGCGTGGAAATTTTCGAAAGACAGGAACAAGATAAGCGGGCGAGGTACAGCGCCTCAGAGACACTGCGCTGTCACAGGAAGTTGGTGGGAATTAAGTAAGCAGTGAGCGTTTTGCAATTGGAAATGCTAAGGCCATTGGATGGTTTCAATGTTCATGCAACTAATAAATAAAAATGTGAATTTTTAATACCATACGCGAATGACAATTGAAAGCTCATTCAAGCGCTACAATGGCTTGACATTGAATGTTGAAAAACTGAATATTTAGCGGTAAAATATCGGAAAATGCCGATATGCACTACCTGGCAACACTTTTACAGAGTCAGTAGGTAAGTATGTACCTGTAGTATTCGGAACAGGAAGCCTCGAAACTTAAGTAGTTTACAGTGAACTCCATGTTGTGGAAAGTAACAGGTTTCATTTATGTTGAAAGAGCAGATCAAGAAAACTGAGGCTGGCGCCTGGGCCTGGGCAGGTTGACTATTGACAGCTAGCAAAATACCAACTATTGGAAACCTCTGCTTATTGATGTATAAATAAGTAAACATTTGGCGCTCACATTTTTGCTAAGTTTTTTGCCAAGCTTCTCTTCAAATTTGTGGTGCGCGTCTTTATGTTGTAACACAAATGGACCTAAGATTTTAACCCTCCTCCGAACCGCAAATGGTTTTGCGAGCAGGCATGTCATCGTCTGCCGAGGGTTGTACAGTTCCTTTCGTATATACTCCCAGGCACCAAGGCAAAGTTCGACGCTTTGTTTGCTTTCGACTTTTAAAAATCAACCTGTACGGTCTAAAATCGGTGGGACCATTCCGCCTTTTATGAAATTGGTACTAAGAATTCGGATTTTAAGAAATTTATAACCGTTACGGAAAAGCCGATTTCATTTTTGAAATAACTGTAGATAACCAATAATTGGGATTTTCTCAAAATTGATAACCGGTACTAAAAACTCGGGTTTCTGAAATTGTTAATCGGTACAAAAAACAATTAAATTTTTGAAATAACTATAAAATGGAATTTTCTCAAAATTGGTTATCGGTACTAAAATCTCGGATTTTTGAAATTGCTAACCGGTACAAAAAGCCGATTTCATTGTTGAAA